AGGAGATATATTTGAGGGCATAGCTTGGTTTAAAAGAAGCTGTAAGAAGTCGCGCAGAAAGATATCTCAATACCAGGACTCTAAGAGCTTGTGAGACACAAGCACAGAACCAAAAGCAGACTTTGTGACTGATCCTACATCATCGCGGATACAAAATGAAATGCTTAAAGAGCAGAAGAAAGTTCAGTGAAATAGAACCATAGGAAGATATATATACAATCTTTGAGAATCAACAAGTACCATTCATACTCACTCTCTGCATTGCATTATCAACATAGTGAAACATACGGAACAAATAAGGATTAGCATAAGAAAATACATGAATCTGTTTAAGTAATAACAGAGGAAAACAATTATAGGAACACTCTAAACCATCCCGGTTAACAAAATGATAAGCAATAGTTGAAGAAAAAAAAACAGAGGGTTACATCTCAAGTCTGATACATCACAAACATCGATCAAACATTAGCATCAAACATAATTTAACATAAACTATCAGCAACATTCATGGCAATTGAATTACCTTTTTATCAGTGTAAATCTAAAGTTTTTTTGCAGATTATTCAATCTGCATTATGACATACAGATTTATACACCTTTAGAAACCATAAATAAAAAGTTTCCATTTTTATGATTCCAAAGACATACGAAACCTATCACAACAATTCCCTATCAAAAATTTCAACAACGAACAGAGTCTTCCAATTAGACTCACAACATTTCGAAGCAACCTCTTCATATAGGCACATAACGCTTCACGACTTGCTTCCCTGCAACCACAGCTCCAGCTGCTAAACCACCAAGAGCACCAGCTACAGCCGCAGATCTCACTCCTCTCGCCGCTCTAAACACAGCTCCAGTTCCAAGACCAGCAACCACACTTGTCCAAACATCATCCCTATCGCTCCAAGCCACAACACCACTCTCGATTCCTGCATAGATCAGACCAATCACACCAATCCTATTACCCCATGATCGACCCGTTTGACCAGAGGAGTTTAAGATCCTGTTGATTTTCAGCTTAGTCGTGTCGCCAGATTCGAAGCTCTTGACTCCGGTGAAAATACCGACTGTAGCGCCGGCAACGGAACCGCCGAGGTAAGCGGTTCCTGTGTAGAAGGTTAGATTCTCACCCCAAGATCGACGCTGTCTTAATGACTCCTCCGTGAATAGAAACTCCGGTGAGTTAGGAAGCTTGTAAAGGTATTGAGATGGGACTGGAATCTCGTAGTTTTGGTAAGGATTGTAAAGTCTCGTGTTTTCGTCTGATTCGTGATCAGA